ATTCACAGTCACGGGTTTTCTATCTGCACAGGGGCGTGATGACGAAGAAGTCGACTCGACACAGCATGTTTAAATTGTGTTTCAACGATACCACAATGGTGACAGCTTTGACGAATCGTTAATTGTCGATTGTAGCGTGAATCACCCCAAACGTGACTGCAACATTTCGCATCTCAATGTCAAGTCGAGCACAAAGCATTCTGAATGCTGTTTACACGTTGTTCAAAGTGCTTTGGAACCGACCATTTGATGTCCCGGAGTGGGTGGGGGTGGGGTGCGATGGGGTTGGGATTTTCTTTGGATATTAAATATACTCTTCAAAAAAAAAAAAGCAAAGCCAAATTTGTGTGAGGTAGGAATCCTTGATTCGTCGCTGAACCAGATATCTCTCCATCGCAGATGAGGCCATACCCTGTGTTGACGACACCAATGCAGTCGTTGTTGACGATGTTGTCGACTCAATATGACGCGTCGAACAGGACGTCTTGCTCGTAGACCTGCAGCTCTTTAACGGTTTCGTACGGTCCGGGTATTTGGGATGTGGCTGTGGTCGTCCTTTCGCGTTAGCGATTTTGGGCGGGGTTTGTTACTCTTGGTCGTCCCGACCTTGGCCGATCACGTGTTTACCCATTCTGTTGGAACCGATCCCATGCCTTGTGAGGGGGCACGGGTGGCCCAGTCGTCGAAGGCGCCGCGATTCGCTGTGCAGAGTTGCGTCCCTTGGGCACGCCAGAAACCTATGATTGTGGGTTCGAATCCCGGTTCGCCCCGATTATGTTTCGAGGTTTGTCAGCATCATACTCGTGCTCGTGTTTTTTACCGAAGTGGTAAACGTCTGAGACCTGCATCACTTCGGGCTTTCCTCCCACATTAAGCTGACACGCCGTGATATGACTGGAATACTGTTTAAAGCGGCGTTAAACATAACCTTGTGATGGTGCTGGGCGCTGCATTGAAAACCCTGGCGACAGCTGATCGGAATTCCCCTGCCTATGACATTGTTTCTTTTTCACTTTGACAATCTTAGCATGCTGTTGAACTGTCAATGGTCGATTGACACTGATGCCAGGTAATCAAAAACCCTGCACTTAAATACCGTTCATAGTGCTGCTGCACGTGTAGTACGTGCAGCTCCATGGCCCTTTTGTTAATGCACTGGCTGCGGTTTCCCGACTAAACGTTTCCTTTTTTTGAAGCGTATATTTAAAAAATAACACTTTGCAACAATGTAATTTTTGAGGCAGAAAATTGTACATCAGTATAATAATATTGTTTCAAGAATTGTCTGGCACAATTGAATTTTTTCGATATAATCTCAGTCCTGCATCCCCCACCCCCATCCCGAATATCAATTGGTCGGCTCCAAAGATGATCGCATGCTTGAATCACGAGTTATAACAGAAGCCATGCGTGATCTTTGTAAGTATACATATACTATATTGCTTGTTTCAGTTTACACGAGCGTCTGTGGCGGTTTTAACAGATATTTACGTGTCATCAACATGTTCTGTGTCATAAACAGTCACATGCGTCAGATTCGTAACAAAGGAATTCTAGTCGGTGTTCAAAGAAAAGCATCAAATACTCCCAACAATCACCACCCGCCCTCTCCCCGTCATCGCTTACAATGTTCGTAATGGGCTGTTAACTTTGCGCTGGTGTTAGATTTCAGTTTACAATGTACATATGTCACGGGTAGTCAAACACTGGTGTAGACTGATACACTTGCCCCAAAACAGACTTCCACATCAGTGTTACCTAATGTTAAGATCTTTGGGTGATGTAAGTGCGACTATGCTTGTCGTAAGAGGCGACTAACGGGATCGGGTGGTTAGGCTCGCTGACTTGCTTAATGCATGTCATCGTATCCCAATTGCGTGAATCGATGCTCATGATGTTAATCACTGGATTGTCTGGTCCAGGCTCGATTATTTACAGACCGATGTCATATAGCTGGAATACTGCTGAGTGCAGCGTTAAACAACAAACAAACAAACAAACGAACAAACTGATGTAAGACATATTACTTGGGCATCAAAAGTCAGGCAAATACACTTTCAGTATGGTTTTGGTTATGTTGGGCTAAGACAAGAAATTGGGAATGTAAACTATTTTTTACTTAATTTAAGCAGAGATTAGGTGATAATTTAAAACAGTCATGGTATTCATCAGTTTATGAATCTTCAAAGTGTGTATTTTATAAAGACTACAAGACTGTGTTAGATGTTGACAGATACCTTTGTGGTGATATTCCAACACATTTAAGAATTGCCATCTCTTGGTTCAGATGTAGTAATTATATTTATGCACTTGAAACTGGTAGATATACTGGAATTGAATATACTGAAAGATTATGTTCATATTGCAATCAAGGGTCCATTCCTGTATTGAAGATGAATTTCGTGTGTTTTTTGTTTGCAGTATTTATAAAGAAATTAGAAAACAATATATTGGTAAATTTATTCATGAACCGTAAACCATGCACACTATATATAACATTGATTTATTTCTGTATTATGTCTATGAAACAATCATTGCTAGAAATTAAAAAAAAAAGAAAGAATCTGAAAAAAGGATACATGTTTGTAAGTGCGTATGCACAAACGTTTAATCTATCTGTATTTTGGACCGAATAAATTTGTCTTGTCCTGTCTTGTCTTGTCTAAACGATTTCAGTTTACAATGTACATAAACACTACCGTTAATACTAATGTATTAGACGAAACTGATCACATATATGAAATAAGTGTAAATTTGAGCACCAGGTGATGTCGCCTTTATTATAGAAGCAGCAATTCCAAACCTTATTCCAAGCACGAGGGCACTCAAGTAAATACATTATATTCCGCACTGTAAGCTGACCATGGCAGCAGAGTCAAAGACAAGCTACCCGTGAAGATCCGAGATAGTAATGGTCTTCAGCAACCCATGCTTGTCGTAAGAGGCGACTATATCGGGTGGTCAGGCTCGATGACTTGGTTGATGTCATCTTATCCCAGTTGTGTGGATAGATACTCTTGATGTCAATTTCTGGATTATCTGGTCCAGATTCGATCATTTACGGACCGCATTCAAATAGACAAAACCGTTTTATTTGTCTTGGTTACCACTGTTTTGCCTGAGTGAGTGAGTGAGTTGGATTTTTGTCGCCTGGAACCGCGGAAACTGTAACGCTGATCGGTTCATTGTTTTATATCAATTTTGCCACAAACCCCGGTAATATAGGACCTATGCTTGCCGTTCGATACAACAGAACTGATCGTGTTATAAACGAATGAGTGAGTGAGTTGGTCTTAACGCCGCTTTTAACAGTATTCCAGTTATATCACGGCGTGACAGCTTAATGTGGGAGGAAAGCCCAAGTGATGCAGGTCTCAGACGTTAACCACTTCGGTGAAACCCACGAGCACGGGTATGGTGCCGACAAACCTAGAAACAATCGGGGCGAACCGGAATTCGAACCCACAATCATAGAATTCTGCACAGGGACTGGGCCACCCGTGCGCGACGATTTGCCTTGAAATTGCAGGCAAGTAATACATATGAATTGGCGTTAGAAATTGTTCATGTGAAATCGATATTCCCGGAGTTTTGTTCATGTTAAAGCTTTCCCCTGGGTAAATTGTTCCACAGAGACAAAACTCCTGGTATATCGATTCCACCAGAACAAATATTCAGCGGGAACATATTTACGCCCAGGACCGCCTCCGTGGTCTAGTGGTAGAACGTCTGCCCGGAGAGCGGGAGGTCGGTGTTCGATGCCAGGCCGCGTCATACCAAAAGACGTTAAAACTTTGTTAATTATTATTACCCTGCCTGGTGCTCGGCGAAAACATGGACCAGTCGGCGCGGCCTCAGTATACTGTGTCTGAGTGGGGTATTCATGTTAAACTGCGGCATGGTATCTCAGTGAGCTTGCCCCATTAAATTGGCATTAGTCCGGACTAGTACAAGCACACAGACACACACTGCTAAATATGTCGAACATGTCATTGATCCCCATTGCGAAGTGTACTAGGGCCTAGCTGTTTACCACTTTGGTGAAACCCACGAGCACGGGTATGATGCTGACAAACCTAGAAATATAATTGGGGCGAACCGGGATTCGAACCCACAATCCTAGGATTCCTGGCGTGCCCAAGGGACGCAACTCTGCACAGCGAATTGCGGCGTCTTAGACGACTGGGCCAACCTAGGACCCCAGGGCCCGCTTGCACAAAGCGATCTTAACGCTAAGATGATCGTAACTCCCATACTTTAACATAGGCTAACAATAGTCGTAGCACTGAGATCACTTCGTGCAAGTGGGCCCTGATCGGGTTGTGAGGCTTGTGACATGTGGATTGCTTGTCATCGTATCCCAACGGCGTAGGACGTTGTTCATAATATAAATCATTGGTCTGACTGGTTCAGAATTGATCATTTACAGACCACATTTGGTCTTCAGCAACCCATGCTTGTCGTAAGAGGCGACTAACAAGATTCGAGTGGTCACTGTCGCTGACTTGGTTGATGCATGTCATCGTATCCCAAATGCTCATGATGTCAATCACTGGATTGTCTTGTCCAGACTCGATTATTTACAGATCGTCGTCATTATAGCTTGAATATTGCTGCTACAAACAAAAATACAAACAGACCACCTTCATTTAGTTGGGGTACGGCGTTAAACAACAAAGAAATAAATTTAATATGCCGCTACCCCATGACATACAGGAAAACCCCGATATTCTACGATGTACCGATGAGGTTTGCGGTAACCGCCGCAAGGTGTCGCCGTGATAGAACATTGCCAAAAGCGAAGCGAAACCTGACGCTCGCAGAAGGCACTAAGCTTGTATAACAACACTTAAGGCAGAAGGATTGCATCATACCACACAGTTATATGAATAATATCCGATTAACGATTGTATGAAAGACAACAAACTGTGATTTCCTAACTTTGACAAAAATATGCGTGTCACCATCTGTTAAACAAACAATGAGACACCACGTGACAAAAACATCACGAGACCTCGGGTATCGTCTGCAATTGCCGAAGCATGCAGTCACACGGCTAGAGTCACAACGCTTCAGAAAATATCTTTACACTGTTCGGGACACAAATAGCTTGAGTCATGGCGGTGTTCGGGGTGGTGGCAATCTTCCTCCTTGTTATATCGGGTAGCTGGGGTCGCTATGACCCAACGTGGGCGTCGCTGGACACCCGGCCCCTCCCGGTGTGGTATGACGAGGCCAAACTAGGTATTTTTATTCACTGGGGGGTATTTTCCGTGCCCAGCTACAACAACGAGTGGTTCTGGTATCAGTGGAAGGGGTCAAAGGTGAAGAATGTTGTTCAATACATGGAGGACAATTTCAGACCAGATTTCACTTATGCAGATTTTGCTCGGGGATTTACAACCGAGTTTTTCGATCCTGCGGAGTGGGCAGACATTATTCAAGCTTCCGGTGCAAAGTAAGTACATATTGAAGGTAAACACGGACACTGGGCACGGGGTTGTAACAATAAACGTATGTTTTGAGTATGTTATTAAATTGCTCGTTGATGATCAATAATGCATAATTGTGTTGTTAACAGGAACCTCAGCTGACTGTGCGTTTGATATATATAATATATTATATGACAGTTTTTGAGAGATTCATAGATTCACGTGACGTGTACGATGCACTTGAATGAATATGTATGAGTACTTTCGAACTTGGCTTCGTCTTTGCGTTACTTGATCTTCAGCAACTCATGCTTGTCGTAAGAGGCGACTAACGGGTTCTGGTGGCCAGGCTTGCTGACTTGGTTGATGCATGTTATCGTATCCCAATTGCGTAGATCGATATTCATGATGTCAGTCACTGGGCTATCTTGTCCTGACTCGTTTTTTACAGATAGGCGTCATATTAGGTAGAATATGGCTGAGTGCGGCGTTTAACAACAAACAAACAAACACGGTGGGGCGCGCCCCATGGGGCCATGGGTCAGGGTGTGTTGGGATGTTTAAGTCTCGCATGTAAAAGACATTTCACAATACAGCATAAAACAGAAGTTTAAATACAATCGAGAAAACGTATGAAAACACTGAATAAATAATATTTTAAAACAAAAAAATAAAACATAAATAGGGATGTTTAAAGATAATAGTACATGCATATGTACCCGACAGTGATTGGTAAGCATACAGAGACATTCACATATACACAAGCGTCCACACGCACACATACATGGACGTATAGATACGCATGACTAGGTTGATTGGGTGGTCAGATTCGGTAACTTGGTTGATTGCCTGTCACCGTGCCCCGTCTACATGGGACGTTGCTCATAATATCAATCACTTGTTTGCAGACTCCATTATTTACATGCCGCCGTGACGTCACAAGAATATTTCTGACTGTTAAACAATAAACAGACACAACAGCAATGGGCGAATTAAATTATCGACAGCTTAAAAAAAAAAATGCTGGATGAATGCAATTAATTCAGTCGGGCATAATTTGCGTTTGTAAGCCGATAAATAGTCAAAACTAGTCAATTGCATCAACCAAGTTAGCGAGCCTGACCACCCGGTCCCATTAGTCGCCTGGGGGCACGGGTGGCCCAGTCGTCTAAGGCGCCGCGATTCGCTGTGCAGAGCTGCGTCCCTTGGGCACGCCAGAAACCTATGATTGTGGGTTCGAATCCCGGTTCGCCCCGATTATGTTTCTAGGTTTGTCAGCACCATACCCGTGCTCGTGGGTTTCACCGAAGTGGTAAACGTCTAGGACCTGCATCACTTTGGGCTTTCCTCCCACATTAAGCTGACACGCCGCGATATAACTGGAATACTGTTAAAAGCGGCGTTAAACCCAAATCACTCACTCACTCATTAGTCGCCTCTTACAACAAGCGTAGTCGCCTTTTACGGCAAGACCCCGGATTCTACCCCGGATCTTTCTGCTGCAGTGCATAATGCACAAAACGGCTACGTCTCGCTTATGGTAACTGCAACATGTGTCGCTGATGTGAGCTTATGTGATGCAGCACATGAATACAACGAAAAACTTGGGAATATATGGCACAAGTCAAACTTGGTAATTGCATAAGTTTTGTCAGTGAGGCGTCAAATTTAGAAAAGTCCGCCACATGTATACAATAAATCTTTTTGAAAGCTTCTCGAATGTTTTAACCCTGATCAAACAACATTTAAGCAAGACTTATATGACGATCTTTGAAATCTTCGTGGAAAAATAGACAATCATGCTTGTTGCTCTGAAGAATGATATGTTGAGGTTCCCTGAAGGGTTTTTGTTTCCTCCTTTTGGGGACAAAGAATGATATGTTTTGAAGATCTGATTGAAAAAATACCATGTCTCCAAAAATCCACGTCCTCTCCTTCCCGCTGACTTCAGTTAAAACAATATTCATTCACTCGCTTTCTGCTTCAGATACGTTGTGTTGACCAGCAAGCATCATGAAGGCTTCACCAACTGGCCGTCCAAGTACTCCTTCAACTGGAACTCCATGGACAATGGACCCAACAGGGATCTTGTGGGTATGGATCTGCTATCAATACTTTTTTATATGAACACCATACCAACGTCATCCATGTCCTGTGAGAAAAGATACAGATGGTGGACATAAGTGGGTGTCTTATCCGACGGCAAATCACAGAGACATGTCCGGCACCAATTGGTTTTCACAAGAGAAGATGGGTATATTGTGGCCGTGATGGGTGTCACGCCAGTCAGATAAATATTATGTTTCTCATGACTGGGAAGGGAAGACAATTGTGTTTCTTGTCTTCAGAGGCTAACAAATGTACATGTATTGTAAACCTATGTATTGTGTCATCTCTCTTGGCCGCGTCCTTACGGCTCGAAGTATGAACAGATGGTTCGGTGGTCATGTTGGCCACGGCTTGCTTCCCCTGCGAAGACTAAAATCAAGACATGCGGAAAAATCGGAATCCGGTGTAAAACGAAATTTGAGTTGAAAACAGTGGTTAAAAAATAAAAAGGATCAGGGCAATTGGAGAGTCGGTTGCGTCATGAGTAACAAGAAATCTAGTTTATCAGGCTTTTGTGTAGAATTTATAAATTCTGAAGAATATGGGTCTCCAGTGTCCTATGCGTGGCATACATGCCGACTACATAACCTAGTGTTACCTTGCAAATAGCGTGTCGTATCCTTAATAGGCGTGGGTCATTGCTCTTGCTATCAATCAATGCTTTCCTGGCCCAGATTTCCTGAGTTACATGTTGTCTTGATATACACTACCTGACAAAAGAAAGTTTACTCTTGAAAACTTAATTTGACAAAAACAATTACAAACGTCATCAGACCGTTACTCGGCTGAAAACAGTTGCCGAAACAAGACAAAGTTAAGGTCCAAAACACAACCATGATACCCGTATAAAACATTTCACCGTCGAATAACCATATTTTGTTTGTTTTATTTTTAGCTACGATCAAATATGTGTGTATACTTTCTTTTGCCTAGCAGTTTAGTCCGAATATTGCTGACTACGGCGTAAAACAACTTCAACTGATTGTTTTCTCTTCAGGTGAGCTCGGTATGGCAATCCGCAACAACACCGCTGTCCGCTTTGGTCTGTACCATTCCTTGTTTGAGTGGTTCCATCCTCTCTTCCTCAAAGACAAGGCATCCAGGTTCAAGACCAACGACTTCGTAGCTGTGAGTTACTTAACGATCAATCTTATTAGAAAAAGATCTTATACTCAAATACCGATAGTGTCAATGAAAAGGCCACTAATGTCTATCCGTTTTACTACCGACCCTCATGGCGGGCATATTGAAAATATCCTTACTTGTTCCGTGGTTCCTTTTTACAACGTGTTCAAGTCAACTGCGTGAATAATATTTTTTCTGTATTACACTATCTCTAGCTCTTTTTAATGTTTCAGTGACTGTTATTAGTTTTTTTTTGGAGAAAACAGCTGTCATGATATTCAGAATGTGTACTAACCCCGTGCATTTCGTTGCCATGGTTCCAGAGCAAGACGATGCCTGAGCTGTTAGAGATAGTCCAGCGGTACAAGCCGGAGGTTGTGTGGTCTGACGGGGACTGGGAGGCCCCTGATTCATATTGGAACTCAACCCACTTCCTGGCCTGGCTGTACAACGACAGGTTAGTATAGGAATTATACAACGCCTACTGTTCTCCAATGTTTCATTTATATATGGTTGTAACCGTGTAGATTCCGGGTCAGAATTGGTCTTCAGCAACCCATGCTTGTGGTAAGAGGCGACTGACAGGATCGGGTGGTCAGCATTCGATAAATATGTAATGAGGGAACGTAGCAGAAACCATTCGTCACCACTCGAATGACACGAGTTGGTCATGAATGAGCAGGAACTACTTTTTATAAGCTCCATAAACTGTTCCCAGTGGTAAAGACACGTGATATGCGGTTTAGAATAGGTCTTATACGCACAAACCCATGCTTGTCGTAAGAGGCGACTAACAGGATGAGGTGGTCAGACTTTCTGCCCAAATGTATGGCAACAATACTGCCAACAATGATTGAACCAGAAGTCACGTCTTTCTTTGAATATAAGCTTCCACGGTGATTGATTTGGCCGTCAAATCAGTGTTTCAATCAGAGGTAGTTGTTGAAATTTGAAACTGACCAATCAGAATCGAGTATTTTCCAAAGTTATGGCAGAATGCGTGTTGAATACATATATGTACTGACTTAGTATTGATTGTTGTATTGTGTATTGATTGTTGTATTGTGTATTGACTGTTGCATTGTGTAGTGACTGTAGTATTGTGTATTGATTGTTGTATTATGTATTGATTGTTGTATCGTGTATTGATTGTTGTATCGTGTATTGACTGTTGGATTGTGAATTGACTGTTGGATTGTGTATTGACTGTTGGATTGTGTATTGACTGTTGGATTGTGTATTGACTGTTGGATTGTGTATTGATTGTTTCTCTGTCCTTGCAGCCCCGTCAAGGACACTGTGGTGACCAATGACAGATGGGGAGCTGGGATCAAGTGTAAACATGGCGACTTCTACACCTGTCGTGACCGCTACAACCCAGGTCAGTACTTCCGGTCAACGACTAGGAGATTACAATGACACTACATTAACTATAACCATAATATCCGACTATCCTTACAGTCAGGGGAAAGAGACACTCTGTGTACGAAGTAAACAAAACGTATTCGAAAACAAAATTTTACAGAATGCCCCGTGTTACCCTGACTGTGGTTTTGTATGGAGACTAGAATCTTTTTCAGCGACAGCTGCACAACCAGATATTCATAACCATGAGCTTTCTATCAACGGTGATTTATTTTTTCATCAGTCTGAAGTGTATTTTTTTTCAATCATCATCTGGAACAACTCGATACCCCCCACCCACCCATATACACATATACACACACACACGCGTTGGTGCGAATCCCGGTTCGCCCTGATAATGTTTCTAGGTTTGTCAGCGTCAAGGGTT